ATATCTAACGGGCCGTTTGAAGTCTTCTCGGCGACCGTCGCGTCTTCCTGAGTGACTGCGGGAGTGACGGGGGTGACTGGTCTCGGCAGTACAGGTGGCAATTTCGTCAAATCGACAGGGATGTCGGGAAGATCGCTGTCGTCGTCCAGCAGAGTCTTTTCTACCTCGATTGGCTCCGCCGCGACGGCCTCCGCGGTCGGCAGCTCCGCCTCCTCGAAGTCGTCCAACAGCAGATCCTGCTGGAGCCTCGGTCGTCTTCCCTTCGTGAGCCTGCACGTGCTTACATGATCGATTCTACCCGACAACACCTCAACGGCATTGCCTAAGCTGACTAATTTGTTGCCCTTCTTGTCGACTGTCTTGAGAACCTTGTCGGCGCTGGTGGTGTCGAACGGATCGTCTCCGACCTCCTCTTCGGTCGGACTGTCCGGTATGTAAGCTAATTGTACGTCGATGTTCTGTAGAACGTCGACGTAAGTGGTGTCGAAGATGTCTTCTTCGGCGGAATCCTCCTGCTCATCCTCGTCCTCCGGCACGTCCACGAAACCGTCCTCATTCACTAAAAGTTTATCCTCCTTCCCGTCCTGACCGTCGACTTCCGGCGCGGCTTCGATCGGATTGCCCTCCTTGTCGAAGCCTACCCACCTCTTCGAGGACGATTTCTTCGCCTCCTCCTGCTTGGCCGCCTCGTCCGGCTTCTCTTCCAACGGCGCTTTACGCTGGAAGAATGAGGTAGATTTTATCCGATCGAGGTCATCCTGGGTCTTCTTTAAGACCGAATCGACGCCAGCGGTCAAGGCCTGGAACTTCTTCCACTCGTCGGATCCAGCGGCCGGCTGACCAGCCTGCTCGGCTTTCTGTTGGGCCTCTGCCCGCTCGCGCCGATAACGCTCGAGCTCCTCGGGATCGAACTCTTCCTCCTCTCCTCCCTTCTTGCCCTTCTTCGGCTTTTTCTTCTTCTTCAGGCCCTTGGCTAGCTTGTGCATCCTCTAAGACCTACCGTGGTGCGTGAGAGGCTTCTGAAAATAGAACAGCATTATTTTGGTAAAAATACTCCGTCACCTGAAATCTTTCAATTCTTTAAGCTGTGCTATTAGTGACAAATATAAGTTTCAAATTTCAAACTAGCGACTTTTAATTTCTTGAAAAGCAAATAATTATAAATGCAATTATGTTTTTTGCAAACAAATATGTAAAAAATCAAAAATTGTACATTTCTGTTTAGAGTATGATAAATCAGATTTTCTTACGACACATTCGCACACAATTGAGGCGCTACGAAGCCATGATCATTGTCTTTAAAGATAAAATCTGCATCATTGGATAGAAATTTGCGTCTGAGAATACTGGCGATGCGGGATCATTGCCAAGAGAGGCCGATCGATCGCAGTGCAGTAACCGAACGTATTTTCTCCTATTTCTTTAGTCGCTTCGTAAGCGAAAATAGAAATAGCAGATATAAGACGAAATGGTGCTTGAAACGTTTTCCGGAAATTTTCTCTCCACGGATAAACACCTTACAAATAATCTGGATAAATTGTTGGAATCGGTTAAAATTTTAAATAAAGAAAAATCAGATAAATTAGATCTTCCTAAAAGAAATAAATATATTTTGCTACATTTCTATTAAAATCCCATCAAGATATTTCCGTAATATTTTTCGATCGCTTCGCATTTATTCTATTATTTTATGCTGAGTTGAGAATTGAATGCTTCATGCGATAAATATTGCAAATAAATTGAACACTATGTATTCTAATAACTGATAATAAGCTTACAATCGTACAACATGTGTGTATTTACATTTTAATCAAACATCGACCTTTGCATCAATAAAATTTGATTAATATGCCGGTATCTGATGCAGCGGCTATTAGCAACACATCATCGATAAACAATGAATAATGTAATATTCTATTTTCTATTTTTAACATACCTGCTACTTCTGAATAAATCAAATGCATTTCTTGATAACAAAAATACATGTGTTGAAGAAAATGGAAAACAGTTCTGTTCACAAATTCTCAAATATGAGACTTTGTCTTTCATACGTAACACACGTGCTATGCATGATTCTCTGACGGTATAACGTTCTTTTACATGCAAAATCTCGACGTATGTTTTACGTTTTCATCACGGTTTACTGAGCAGGTCTGCCATATAGTAACGCTAATCCGCTGTACGGATACACACGTATATATGAGAGTGCGGGTGTATATGTGTCATAAAACTATAATCGATACGTGGAAGAAGAAGGAACGAGAAAACCCCCCGATCTTCGCGGAGAAAAGGAAATTTCTTTTATACCATTTTTCTTTTCGTAGTAAAATAAAAATGCGTAGCATAATGCGTATAAATTATGCGCACTATAAATATTTAATGCACTTGGATCTATATACGTCAATTAAAAGTCCAAACGGTCTGCATCCGTCCGTCAGGTACATATTTCTAATACCGAATCAATGAATCAATATTATCGACGACATACCATACTCCGCGCAAGATATCTCGGAAATAGGGACACAATATAGTACATTCAATAATAGAGATGTTATGAGACACAATATCATTCTGATAAAAGAAAATTAGTAAAAAGAAAGACTTAATTCGATTTTATCAGATGAAATCTCCAATTTCTTTTATTATATTAAAATACAAAAAATCCCCATTCAATCATTTATTTGAAATTGCTAACGTATTAAGTAAAATACGAAAGAAAATCAAATTTTAAATTGAAAAATAAGAAAGCAGAAGTATAAGAGCACAATAGAGATATTTATCTTACTTATGATTTAATTAAATCATGTTAGAAATATGACTTCAATTCAATAACTAATCGCATATGTCAGATAACCGTTTCAACTAATGACAACTTGTGTTAATTGAAATAATGTCCCTCGCGGGCTCCTCTCGCAATTCCATACACCTGTCACTTACACGTTCTAATGGCAGTCAGTCGCGAAGGTTTTGAATGATAAAAACCGGAATGTATTATCCTGATTATTTCTCGTCTCGCAAATGCAAATAATTATTTAGTAGAGAGAAAAAAAGGTAACGACGTGAACATATCCGTTTTACCTGTTTGTAAAAGTTGACTTTAATTTATAAAAACTGTTTATGATCCAGCAATAAATCAAATATTCAGACATCCAAAACTTCTTTTATCCGCAAATTCTTCGCGATAGTTCGGAATTGATTTTCTCTTGACACACAAATGTTGAGGCATTCGCACACCGTGCTGCGACATTTCAATTAATCCGAAGGACATTTTTAATAAAAATATGACAAATTTGAGGGAATAAAATAACGCGCAATATGCAGCAACAAAAATCAATACTTTATGAACGTTGCGACATGTTGATTAAAAGTTAAAGCGCTACATATTTAGAGAGGCTTCTTTCTTGCGACACGATCAACCACGGGATGAGATTGGACACGAAAATCGTCGGCGATGACCTTTCCTGCGCCGAGATCGATCAGGCCTCTCAAGACTTATTGCATTCTACTAGCACTGCTGTTGCTGCGCCAGCTACATTCGTCGAAGCGCACGGAGAGCAGCGAGCGCTTCGAACTAGAACACGCGGAAACAGCACGAGTGCATCTAATTTTATCTCTACTGAAAAAAAGATCAAACAAATCGCTCTGGGCACCAATCCTTCATCTCCCGCGAGTTCCACAAAGTTTCCAAAAATGCGTTCATAGTTTCGTGCAAGACGATGAAATTGCAGCGCGGACCTTTGACATTTCGCTCTTTAAGATTGCTCTAAAGCTACCGTGTGAAATTCTCTAATATTTTTATCGAATATATTTGAAGTAAAAATAAAAGTAAAAAGCAAAATTTGTCACTCCACATTTCGAATATTTTAATAAAGCGAGCTCCCAAGAACGAAATGATCTAGTTACTGCATCACAGTACATCGGTGAGCGATTATTCTATGAATCGGACTGAAAAATTCATGACACGGTGTTTGAAGCTCGTGCTGTCGTTAAAAGGAGAAGAAGAGAAATTGAATGGATTGCTATAGCATCTGAGATATAGAGGTGCTATCTGAAATCGGACGTATGCCTAAATGCGACTTACGATCAGTGGCGATCAGCTTCTCCTGGCATGCGCGGAATATCAATTAGTAGCACTAAATCCTCCGGTTATCTATTTTCTACCAAGAACATCAATTACTTCGTAAAGCTGCAGCACAGAAAGCGCGAATCATCGATCTGCGATTAAAATTAACAATTTCGAGAACGTGCAACTAGTAATAACACCATATTACGGCGTAGTTCAGTACATCCAAGACATCCTCCTGGAGATCGGAGCGGGTACGTGATTTAATCGCGAATACGTGTGTGGTCAGAGCACTGTTCCCGTATTTGGAGCGAACCTCCCCGGCGGGGTTAGGCCTCTCGGTAGCCAAGTAATCCGCGTAATCGCGATTACGTCAGATTCCGAAGTGACGACGTGGGATCAATGAACAGACGACGGACTGGACTGGTGCGGAATCGCCTGTTGCAAAATCGGAAAATCCCAGAGATTCGCAGAAATGGCACAAACTTCTGTCCAGCGAGCGCCTCTCGCGAGCGGAATTCCGGTGGTGTTCGTTCCGGAGCGGAGCGGCGATCAATTCGAGGGAGAACGCCTGCCGTCGGGGGTGGTGCACCCACGTCTGCCTTTCGGCGGCGATTTCGCCGACGGGGGTAGCGGCAAGCGGTGTCCTTGGCGCGGGTGCGTATGTGTGTGTGTGTATGTATGTACGTATATGTGTGCCGTGTGACACGCAATACTCACGATTTCAGCCTCATCAGCCACATCGGTTCGGCGCACATTTTTTTCGCGTCATCCCGCTCAGTTCGGTGCCGGATCGAGGCTCACGTTGGCTCGGAGCTAGCAGCCGGCGCGCGCCCGATTCGAGAGAGAGAGTAGAATGGCCAGATCGAGGAGGGCGGCGGCGACGGTGGCGGCGGCCGTGTTGGATACGGAAGAGCGGTCGGACACGGTAACTTGTCCCGGGGGAAACCGGATGATACGCGCGTGCGGAAGCTTATTTGCTTTTCTGGAAACGGATCGGCAGGCAGCGGCGGCAGCGAGCGTCGAGAGTCGCGCGAAGGCCCTGCCGAAAGCGAAGGCGACTCACCTCGTACTCTCCTGCGGGCCGAGCTATTTCCAGCATCGATCCGTTTCCGTCGGCGAAGAAACATGCGCGCGGCCACACCACCCACCGCCCTCCGGTATACGGCGCGGTCGCGGAGCGTCGCGACGCCGCCGGTCGGCGATGGCAGCGACGGCGGTGACGCGAAAAATCGACGGCGCCTCCTGTCGAGCGGCGCTCAGCGAAATCACAGGCGACGACATCCGCGGAACGTGGAGTTGATGATTAAAAATTTATCGTCTGAATCGCAAATTTAATCTCGCAATTTATCCAGAAGAATCTAAGTATCTGAAAAATTATTTAAAAAAAAAAAAAAGTAAACTCGCAAAAATAAGACGTTGATTTTATTTTTATATCGATTAGTATATAATTAAGTCTCCGATTTTCTAATGGAGCATGGGTTTGGATTCGGAGGTAACCTAATAATAAATTGCACCATACAGTTCGTAAATAGATCAAAAATAGGTACATCAATATCCCGACGTCATTGCCAACCACCACTTGTGTCCACGATCGCACCCTTATTGGCAAAAACACTATGGTCATTTCGCGCAAATGTTGCGAGTTCGACAGGATGCGCGAAACGCGAAATCGAAAATGTGAAAATATCGTGATAAGCTTTTTATCGCGAGAAAAATGTACGAATAATATTTTGGCGTGCAATATCCCTTCTTCGCAATAAATAAAATCTGATCGTGCAAATCGTGGAGAATTAAACGAAATTAAAAGAGGAAATATCACGGATAACGCGTACGAAAGTATTACGAGAGAATATTTCGTCATCGCTGTGATCGAATATTGTCTTTATGAACGGAAGAAATTAACATATAAATAGGTGATAATGTAACAATCGAAACAATATATTATCTTCTACAACCAGGACTCTTAGGACATATATTCGAAATCTGGTAATCCTCTGACTCTCGCAATACATGTGTGCGTGTATATACGACGTATATACATTTGTATATGTTTCTTCTTCTTATATATATATATATATTTCTTCTCTTTGAAATATTGTACGTTTATTTTACACATAAAATTAATATAATTAATAATATGAATAATAATAATAACAATAATTATAAGAATAATAATGTACATACTTTCACCGTTGTTATTTCCATAATCAGTGACGGCAATCAGAATCATATGTATAATGATCATAATTATGACATAAATTGTCATTCAACATTTGCCAAGTGAGGAACTGTTGTCAAAAATTTGATTCGCTGATTTCACACAAATATCTAAGCTGGTTCAAGACACGATAACGACTTCGGCGTCACCCATTGTTACGTAAAGGATCATATATTAACAACTATCTGTCATGATCACTCGACAAAAAGAGCACGGAATATACAATAACGATGACAATGATAGTAATAATAATAATAATAATTCGAGTAATAATAATTAGAAAAATAATAATAATTCGAATAACTATGTTTCGTAACGTTCTTTTCCTCATTCTCATCTCTATACAAGTGCACAATTATTTACATAATCAATATAATGACAAATTCTAAGGTGCCTTTGAGCGCATTTTAAAACTTGGATTCCTCTGGAAATAATCCAGGATTATATTTGGCACATCTCTCAGTTTTTTGCGTCCTTTTCACATGCGGTCTGATACTTGGCACGATATTGAACCGTCATGCATTGATTGGCTTAGAAGATCGATTTTTAAATAGCTAAAAATGGAGATAATGATTTTTTTTCACCGAAGACATCTCTCTACATCTCGCATCCACTTTTACAATTGTTTCACATTGAATTTAGTGTATCTATCTTTTTCTTTCTGGATCGACTAACATTACGGCTGATCTAATCACGACACAGTAGCCCACAGTCTCTAGACAAACTGACGACACATCTTTTGCCGAGTTTACCGGAATCAAAAGTCATCGAGAAACGGAAAGGGGACTTTCCTTCCGATAATACACAGTTATTGCTAACGCAAGAATACCTGCAAGATACACGTCGCGCGCGATGCTACATGCACATTTGCCGGACCGTAATTTCCAACGAAAAACCATCGATTTCTTTACTATCTTTTTTTTTTCTTTTTTACTTCGCATCGATCCCTATTCGTAGCGGTACACTGACACAGATAAACACCATTTTTTTTTACCCTATTGATCGCATCATATAATAATCGCTCCCTGTAAAAAAACACTCAGGAGAAACAATCGTTTTATGCGAAATTTCCGAAAGCTTGTATACCGAACCACAGTCGAGCCTAAATCTATTGCGTTTTAACGAATCTACGGGTTAGAAACACGAGTTTCTGCTCTCTAAACAAACACGGAATTGTCTAGGGTGAACGCGGTAAAACGTTAGCGAGTTTCACCTTTGCTTCGAGATCGCGAGACATTTCCTTTCGCGTTCGAAGAAATACATTGTGTATCGTTATGCTTGTGGGATCGTCGTTTTGGAATTTTTTTTCCCCTATGATAACAGCTTCCGCTCGGTTAGAATGACAGGTTTGTCAAAAATTTCCAATCGAAAGTCACGCAAAAAAATATGCGACTTTGCATGATCACGAAATGAAAGTTTCATACGTGAAATTTATTTGCGACCACACGAAAAAATGAGCTCTACGCAATTTTTCGTAATGCAATTATTGGCCTGTATTGGCTGAATGAGGATCTTTTAAAAAAAAAATATGTGGATCTCAAAACTGATTCCACTTGTTAAAATTTTTCAAACGTATACATATATGTGTGAATAATAATAGATACTTACATAGCATTTTCGTCAACTTTCCTTGGAAATTTTTTACTTTTTAGGAGACATCAGGTCAGGTACGTTTCTTCACGTAGAATGGACTAATATGTAGAAAGAGCAAGACGCTCGGCAGATGTGCTTTGGCGCACCGAGGGAAAGACGATACTTTTGTATACTCGCGCATCTATAATAACGTTTTTTTTTTTGTCAGTCTGAGAATGTAACCATAAGTGTTTCGGAAATCCCGTGCGAATGTCTGTCTTTCGGAGTTCGAAACATCAAAATAGGCCAAGCTGCAGCAACTCTGTTTGAAATTTAAGCGTAACTTAAACTTAAAAATTCGATCGATGATCGTCCGCGATTTGATTACATGTCACTCAGATTCGAAACATCGTTGATGCAACCGTGCCACGAGAACGTTCGCCGCCACATAAACATAAGCGCGATAATTTTTGCTTCTACGCCAAACGCAAAGATCTACGATCGAGGAATAGTTCGTCGCAAAAGTATGAGAATTTTTTTCGCAGAATATATTCATTCTTTTCCCTCCATTATTTTTTTTTCATTCTTTGAAGGGAATTGCAGATGATCCTCCCCGTTATTTCATGGCACCAAAATACGACAACACACGCGGAAGACTGTCAGGCGGGTAGTACTTGCAATATAGCAACCGGAGGGGGGGGGGGGGAGGGAGGGAGGGAGATTTAAGGCTTGCGTAAGAAACATAAAACTATGTAACAGGCACCTGTAGAAGAACCAGTTCACCGAATTTCTATCGGGCTCGCGCAAAGCCTTGCTTGGAAAATTGCTTAAAAGCACTTGTCTGGCAAACAGACACCGCGATACTGGCCTCCGATCGCCGTCCTGCGAGACACATGCGGAAACGCTTGTCTTAAGCGCGGTCGTAAGACCGCTTGGTTACTGAACCCAAGACGCGGGCACCCACTGAGGTTCCCTCTCGAGCGAGTTGATCTCCGTGAGAAGCTGGTTGTACGCCCGATCGGTGTCGTTGTTCAGAATAAGCATGTCAAACAGGTGGCCGTACTTATCTTCCATCTCGCGCGCTTTCTCGATTATGTCCTTCAACTCCTCCTCCTTAAAGCTCTCGTTATTCTTGATCCTCTTCTGCCGCAGCTTCTCGAGGCTCGGCGGTGCGATAAACACAACGTACGGCTTCAGATCCGAATTTCGCAGGATCTTGAGACTCTGGGGATGAAGGTTTAAGACACAGATCTTCCCGGAATTAACCACTGTTCTGATGGCCTCCACGGACGTGCCGTAATACGCTTTCTCGTACTCGCCGTGCTCGACAAACTTCCGACAGAGGATATCGGACTCGAACTGAGCACGCGAAATAAAATGGTAGTCCTGGCCGTCGACCTCGGAGTCCTTCTTCGGACGACTTGTATCTGAAAAACGAAAAGTAGAATATATTCATAGGTATTTCAATACAATCAAGGCGTTCCTTATATGTATACATAACATTAAATAGTAAGGAAATAAGTAGAAAAGAATGACACTTACGAGGAATCGCCGCAGCAAAACGTTCGCTGTCTTGCATTAATCTCTGCCTGAGTTCGTGTCGTCCGATATTAGGAGGTCCGATAAGTACAATTGGCCTCTTGTGATTTGCGCGAGGATAGTACAAGGCGACTTCTTCGTATGTCAGCACTTCCTCACTGTCGTAATCTGTAAAAAAAAAATATTATGTCAGAAATAATCTCTGCGAGAACAATCTCTAGTTAGAATTAAGTCAAATGTCCACGTCTTACACACCATCTATGGCAGTTGTCGCGTAAAGAGGGTACCCGTCATCGTTGAAGTTTCCACCGAACTTGTTCCGCTTTTTCTTCTTTGGATTCTTTCTCGCGCACAATAATGTGCTGGACTTTTTCGAGCCTCGCACCGTTGTCTTATCGCCGGCTATCGTTTGCTTCATCGATTCTCGTCTACACAGATAAAGAGATACACATTCAAGATAGGGCAATGGAATGTTGACCGTTATTCCACGATTAAAATAAACTCACTGGTGTTGGAATGCTCTGCTAGGTATGAGACCAGCCAGAGTCTGGTCTTCCTCGCCTTCTCGATATGCTTGCCACCAGTTAGGATCCTCTTGGGAAATTACGTGAAGTATATCGCCCTTTTGGAAACTCACGCCTAATTCTCTGCACGGTATGTACGGATCTTCTTCGGGATCGTAATCGAAATGCGCTCGTATATGTATCTAAATGAATAACGAGAGTTATAAATATCGCATACATCCGATCTGCATCATATCTGTCAAACTGGAACAGCTGTTTCGTCCTATTAACGTCAATCTATATTCTACGTATGTGTGGGTTACAAATGTCCCGTCATTAAAATAAAATAATAAATGTCATTCGTGGCATTCGCTCCTATACATTCGTATGTACAAACTCAATCAGCGCAGTGAATAAACGTGAGTTACGTGCACGTAAAAATGATAGAATATCCGGAATAATTGGTTTGTCCAAGCTGTGGACACGCGAATCGTAAAAAGATGTTGGAAAACGATCAATGCCGTTTAATGTCTGAAAAGTTGAAGGACAGATGTTTTCTGCCTGACATTTGCTCTTTCACCCCCCGGCACGAATACCGCAATATTGGCTGTTCTAGTTTCTACGGATATGTAGCTCGTGTTTCCAGCACAAGAATGCGCTAAATATATCACGCACTGCATGTACTGTGTATGCGCCGTACCTGTGTCGTGTCTTCTCTCCTTAAATTATTTCTGTGGCTTGTCGGAGCCGGAAGTACTAAGAATGTAAGACTACCCTGCATAGTGGCGAGAATATCGCAGACCTCATTAACGGTCTTGCCGCGCATTTCAACTCCGTTCACCTCGAGAACCTCGTCGCCCTCGTGCAGCAGTCCCGACTTATCCGCCGCACCGCCACGCACGACGCGTCCTTTAAACAAATGTTATTTAAATGCTTGCTCCTCTCAAAATCAAATTAAACAGGAAAACGCAATCAGTTTTTAACAAATAACTAAGATTAATTGATCATTTTTCGTAAAAGTGTACAGTAGCAAGATTTACAATGTCTCTCATTACCTATTATCACCGCGTCTCCTTCATTTCTAACGGTGGCACCCAAAGGCTCGTTCGTCTTTTCGATGCGGATGATCTTGATATTGTCGACTATTCGAGAGTCTTTCCAACTCGACGTCGGACTGGGCGGATCACTGGGCGGCGAGGACGACGGGCTCTGCTTCCTTTGTAAGCCGTCCACATACGAGACGATGGAATCATGCGCCAGAAGCAGAGCTTCCATATTATGAGTCGCTAGAATACGCATCAACTCTTGCACGGCGGCTATTGTCTCTGCTCCGCCGACACCTGTTGCGGTCGACGACGATTGCCTATTTTTCCAAGATGTCCATGCACTGAAAACGTCACGGCCGATTGTAATATAAATCGAATAAATAAAAGCATTATTTCGTAATATTATCGCTTTCGACTTTTTTCGCGAAACTTTTCCCCGATACGCAATTATTTTATTACAAATGATGCAAAATTTGTTACGCACATCTCGGACCAGGCTCGTTGCGTCATCGGTGTGATGTTTGAGAACCTTGCTCGCTCTCAGGCGATTTTTCAAGGCATGACGCATCGTCAGGGCGGACGCGAATCGATGCTGCACCAAAAGCGTCCGAACCGCCTCGAGCTCGGCTTCGATACCTGGATCCGAAATACCGAGAGCACCTGAAATATTCCGCAGCTGAAACTGCAGCCTCTCCAGCGTAGCAACGACCTCACCGTACGCTGAAATATGAAAAAGCACAACTTGTTCGAGTTTTTTTTCTACAGAATTCTTGCATTGCAGCAGCCGCTTTATTCGTGCTGCGCGCGCGCGCGCGCGGACGAATTATGAGAAGGCGACGAGGAACTTTATCCGGTAGTTCTTTCCGGAATGTTCAGAATTTCTTAAACATCGCTCTTCTATTTGTCAGTTTGCGAAGAATTCAAACTTTTAACGAGTAATTCTCAAAATGGGAAATTCCAAAGGGAAAAAGTTACTCACTGAGGGGCCTGGGAGGCTCCTCCACTTCTTGCACTGCATTAGGTGTGGCATGCGGCGTGACCCGACTGACGGTGGTCACCTCGTCCTGTGCGTAAGCAAGATTCTCCTGGCCGGCGAGACTCGTCGTGTGGCTCTCCAAAGCCTGGAGCTTCTTAGACCCACGGAGAGAACGGCTGAGTATTTCTTGCTTCTCCTCCTCATCTTTGCGTCTCCGTAGCTGTTCCTATAGCGCAACATAACCGAGTAAAGAACCTACTTGCTTCGTAAAACGTAAAAAAGTTTGACGGGATTCAAATCTCAGGCAGGATATACTCCGCACTTATCCTGAAAACCGCCCAAGATATCGGAATTCTACTCGATGGTTATTTAAATATACGGCATGTTTTCTCATAAAACATTTTACGGAGATCAAATATTTAATTCTGTGAAACACTGCGATCGTAACAAAATGCATTATCCTGCATTGTTTGTGATAAACCCTTTTATTAAGTTCAAAAGAAATTTGGGAAAAATTTTATTAGATTAAACCTATAACATAAGCAATATTTATCCATGCTAAAGTATGAATTAGACAATAATATATTCAGTAAATCTTACAAAAGTAATATATTTTCAGACAAAACTGGCTATATATCATTAAGAAAATCTTACCTTATTCAAAGTTATTACAACAATTCTGTTGATTACGCAAGAAGCTGCGAGATAATTATCACATGCAACTGTGTACAACGAATGTCGCAAATGTAAGTAATACATACGGTTTGTATGTTGAGAAATTCATGTAAGCCGCTCTATACGATTAAAGTTCGAACAGAAATAAAAAGTCCTTGAACGATATCAAACTCGAGAGTCGATCGAACATATATTCGCTCGTCAATTATTCCGAAGCAACTTATATTCAGCGATGCAGCGCGCTTTTAGTTCCTACTGTCAACTAAATCTGATGGCACATTAATACACACACATATCACGTTCCATTACCTACCTATATAGATGATAATTCCACGTACAAGTCATGTTCTTAATCATGTGAGATTATTTCAGCAAAAGTCTATCTGCGAAAGTCTCTGATTATTCCCGTATAAATTTCTCTCGCGACCAAGTAGTTTCATAAAATCTGCGAGTACAAGATTACCGCGACATTTATTATTTTCAGAATTATATCGAGCATATTATATCGGAATTCATTAAATACAAGCAACAAAACCTATATATTGAATTTTTTTAATGTTACTGCAATAAAATCGAACGAAGAGATTTAAAAGTGAGTTAAAATTTTGAAAAATTGTAAGCTGATGTAATTCCCGATTCGTCATAAATTTTTAACATTCTGCCTATTATTTAGTTTTTCATAAAATTAGCAAAAGTCAATTTATGACACATTTTTATCTCTTCAGTGGATCAGTGACTTCCACTTACGATCAAGTTTCAGGAATTTATCATGCTATCGGTTCTGTTATTCTGTGATTCGTGATTTACGCCCACCGGTTTCCACTGATAAAACGTTAGTCATCGGTTGCGTTTCGCCATCGTAAAATTGTGATGCGTATAGCGACCATGCTGCGCAGCCGACGATAAAGAATGCGGCAGCAGAAGATACGACTTGTAATTTTCATTTATATAACGAACACATCGCATCGGCCGTGTAATACTATGTATAAAGATAGAAGTATCTCGGCGAAGCCCTGTTTACTGCGACAGTGGACATAAGGTTTCCTGTGAAATTTGAGCCTGTTCTTTCGTGCAGTGCGCTTAAACAACACCAATACAGAAAATGCTAAATATATCACGAGTATGTGTTGATGCAAAAATGATTGTAACGATGAAAAACACTCGAGAAAAAAACTAAACTTTTTAATTACTTGTATAAGCTTATAACTTAAGCACCAAATATCTTCAATGTAACTTCAATCTTATAAAAATTATTTTCTAGACATTCGTATATTACAAATAAGAAATAAAATTAAAGAATTGAGACAAAAATTCTTTTCAACTTTTTCATTCAACAATTATTATGGTATCTTTAAATAGCAACGTATGGTAATCTGAATGTTAAAGATCTCGAAAGAAAAAAATACTCAGTACGTGCTGTTCAAAAAGAAAAATGGGAAAGTAAAAAAATGTGTCGGTGCATACAATTAGGGACACCTGCTGTGAAATATTTCGGTGTATATTAGAGTTGCGAGTCGAATTGAAGGTCTGGAAAGGGTGCCTGCTTGCTTGAGGCAGATCAAGAAACTGAGGTCAGGGAGCCAGACAAAAAAGTAGCCAGAAAGCTGAATGCAGCGGCAGCCAGGCCTGCGAGTCACCCTGCGTCTATACCTATCGAAACTTCGTGACGTTACACTTCAGCCATGTAATCTTAGACTATTGTGGGGGTTCTTTACATTCCAGACCACACTTGACTTAAGGCAGGTAAGAGCGTGGTGTGAGGATTCCATAAGATAAACATACTCACGCGGGCCAGACGCCAGTCACGTAAGGGGTTCTGGCATTTCTCACACTTACAGACACCGAGATTGTATGAATTTCAAGCGTCGACACTCGAACCACGAGCTTTCCCAGAGCTTATCCACGATTTTCCACGGACGGCTCATGGCTTTTACTCGACGTCTTAATTTTTCGAAATTTAATCTTAAAAAAGCGACAAATTATCTAAACGGAATATATAGGATAGAACTTTCGCCCGATGCTTTCACTTCGAAACAAAACGTCCTCGCTTTTACTTTGTGAACAAACTAGCCGCTAAAGGCTGACCGATATTCCAGCGTGAAGTACGTTTTACGAAAATTTACAAAATAAAATTACTCGCTCCATCGATTGACAATCGTTGAATAATTTTGGAATGCTCGTCAACGCGTGTCCCGATGCGCCTAATTAATTTCCATTCATGCAAGGTCGCGTCGCGGCTCATTTATCAATCAAACTTCGTCGGCCTTCGATGTAGGAAATTCGGAAACTGTGTGGCGCGGCACGACGGCCTGCTACGTGCGACGAGTGGTGTTTCAATAGTAACCATTGTCATCGGCTCGCAATTTCCTGCGCAGATGTTCACGTGGGTAGCAAGTTGTACGTCCCCTTAAATAGCGATCTATCATTTAGTGCCTTCGCGACATTGCGCAACGCGATCGCAACTTATCCATGCGAAATGCTCACGCGCTTCGCTCTCACAGCTTTCCACAAAATCCGAATGAAACCGCCAATTAACGACTTAATCCGATCATTGAACAAAACAGTAAATTCCATCGTCGACAGAAAATAAAAAGAAGTTTTATCGCCGTGACGAAACCGCCGACGGAAACCTCGCGCCACTTTACGAGCTTTAGACCGGCGATATTACGCAGTCAACCCTTCTTCAACATGCAAATAACGCGTGAAACTCTTTTTTTTTTTATTTTTACGAGAGCGTTTATTGCATTATAGAAAACCGTAAGATCTCGTAAAACGTCAGTTCTAAATAATTTACATACCGCAAATCGATTGTCAGACTCTTCTCCGTGTGAATCAAATTTAATTGCAATAATAATAGCCCGAATATTCGGCACGATAACACAGTTCTGCGTATTTGCTATTCTAATCTTTCTTTGCTTTTTTTTTTTTTAATACGATACTCACATTCCGTCACGTATGTCTCCGAAATTAAACGCGAGATTTGGGGTGCAGCGTGCGCACGCTTCTCTCGAATGCATATCATGCGTGCTTACGTGACTCGACATAACGCGAGCGCGACGAGAGACGCGGTGCTGTATATTCTTGTCCCCTACCTGATATTTCCTGATAGAGTGAAGCTGCTGCTGCGTCGGCTCGGCGTTGGCGTTATCGCTCGTCTCGACATTATTGTTCTGCGTGGACAGACGTAGATTATCTTTCGGCGGCCTGGCAGGTGCTCTCTTCTGCTCGCGAGGCGGAATGGCAGGCTTGACCCCGTTGAGACCGGCCTAAAAATCCATTCCAAAACAGCTCGTATTAATAGCCCCCAACGTGTCTGATGCCGCACAAACTACTCTGCGCCAAAATTTATCACCTTTCCTCGCTTCGTTTTCTCTCTCTTTTTTTTTTTTTTTCTATTACTTTTCCAAACAGACTATTTCCTACCTCAGTCGGAGAGATATAAGATACTTCATAGAGCCGCGGCTTTGATGCGGCGCGCGGAAGTAGAGAAGGACGAGAAGGGAGAGAAACAGAGAAAGCTGATGCAATAGAAAAGCGAGAGGGCGAGGTGCATACACTCTACGAGAAAGCAAGAAACGGAAGTAAAATGCCGACTCTCTCGAATCTGAATGAACTGTCATACGCATAAAATAAATTACCATATGCAAATAATTATGTATGTTTATTTCATTCCGATCGAATGTAATTAGTAAAAATGACAAATTATCTAAGATTTCTAATATGTAAATTCTAAATTACGAATTCATCACTATTTCTCAAGCGTTGCGATACGTATTTCCAATAATATTGAATCGATTAGCATTTTACTCCGTCAATTCTACAGCTTCTACAAGTTATGTCTACTTTACCCAATACCGTTGACGATCTGTTGTACTAGATGCCTCATTCCTTTACTCATGCTTTTTATTTAATGTCTAATTGAACGATCGTCCTTGCACTTTTGGTTAAAATTTAATTATACAGAAATAATAATAGAGCGATAAGCGGCGGATCGAAAGCTTCAGATCTAATTTAATCGAATAATCTAAGAGGTGAATAATCTATAAGACAACGCAGCATTACCTTCCTTAGAGAATCTTTGTGAAAAGTGTATAATTGAAATTTGCAAAGTATAAGGACGCCGTTCGAATTGCTCGACGAGCGAAAACCAAAGGCAAAGTCCACTGCGGTTTACCTGATGTTCGAGAGCGCCGTCGTGCGAATCGACGCACGAATGATTCTCCAAAGTGCGCATCGGTGGTCCCGGTGTGCTCTGCTTCTTACATTCGACAGGAAAGCTATCGTTCAAAGTCGCCAATTCGACCAGTCCTTTGGCGTGCCGTGAAAAGGAGTTTCTCCGAATAGAGACAGACAGCGAGCGACTTCTCACTTTGAATACCGAACGAACGGCCGGTAAATCCGACAGATCGAACATACTTCTTGAAAGCGGATCGATGTTAGATTTCAAGCCATTGTTAAATAACGTGAACAAATCATTCAGCAGCTTGAAATATTTATACTCCATAAACAACCTCGAGTTCGTCTCGTTCTCCGTAATTGCCGAATAGTCCAGCGGACGGAGCAAATTGTCGTCACATCGCTTCTTGTATCGCAAACGAAAATCATCGAAATTGTACGTATCATCGAACGGATGATGTACGATTTGCTGCCTCGCGGAGGAGTGCTCGCGCAAGGAATTGCGAGAATTCTGATTCGTCTCTTGGACGAAAGACGGTAGAATGCGATTGTCATCCGCGATTTTGCGAACTGGGATATCGCCGATGGGCAATGTCGGAGCATCAGACACCGACGAAACATTTCGCCCGTGCTCGATCGCCTCGTTCGGACGGTCGCGCGAGACAATCTCTTGTTTTCGGGAACCGAAGAGACTTTCCGAAGAGCTGACGGTTTCGTTGGCGGAGACAGTCGCGGGCGCGGAATCGTCACTCGCTTTAGAGAAAACGGAGAAGACCGCCCCGCCGTGCCCGCTTTCCGCGAGGAAAGAATTCGACCAATTCTCAGGGAGCTCCTCGCGAAGAAGAACGGAGGAGAATGGACGTTTGATGTTGCCGAGAAACTTTCGACGCAAGGGAACACCGCGATGGACGTCCTCGTGGGACGTATCAAAGCAGGAATTCTCGTAGAAGAGCCGTCCGCCGTTTCGAGCGCCGTTTGCGCCCGAGACGGACGGCGATAGCGTACGGAGCTCGTGGAGCTCCTCCTTGGCGGTCTTATCGAAGCGTCGCAGGACCGGTTCGTTAAGCTGAAGCTGCGTCAGTGCGTTAAGAGGATGCGTGCTGGAAAGCCGAAGCGATCTGCGGTGCTCGTGGTGCATAACAGTTTGGAAGCCGTCGAGTATCAAGCTCTTGATTCTGGACCTTACCTTCTTGCTGTCGTGCTTACGGTCTAGAGTGCGCGCGACCGCGATCTCCCTAGCGCTACCTTCGCCGCTAGACGACGTCGTGACGCTACTATCGTTCGGGGAGAGGCAGGGGGAGGCTACGAGCGCGCTCGTGCTCGTCGTGCTCGTCGTACTCGTCGCGGCACACGCGCTGCCCTCGCTGGCGACGCTATCGCGATCGCGTCTCGGCTCGAGGGTGTTGTGCTTGCTGCTGCCGGGAGTCTTATTCGGCGGCGGGTACACCGGATGGCACTTGGTGACCGGCACAAAGTCCGGCGGACAGTCGACGGCGACCTCGCGATAAGAGCCGCCCACCACGAGGAAGCTGCGATCCGCGCCTTGTTGCTCGAGATCGCCGGACGCCTCGCTCCTCAGCGTGGAGTAGCCGTTGGCGATCTGCTGATGATGCCGTTTCTTCTTCGGCCGTTGCCGGGACGAAGAGGACGAGGAGGAAAGGTTGCTCAACTCGGTGCCGAGGAGATCATCGGTCGAAGCTCGGATCAACTCCTCGATGTCGAGACTGCGCGTCTTCGCCTTCACGAGCTTGGCGCGCTCGTCGTTCGGTCGGCGTTTCGGGCTCTTGCCGGACTTGCTCGCCGGCTCCGTCGGAGCGGATTCCGTCTGCTGGTCCTTCGCGCGAACGGTCAGGATCTTATCTTGGTCCTTCGGTATTCTCGTGATCGGGCATTGCTCGTCTATCAATCTCGTCAGATCCGAGACTTCGTCGGATCGCAGTAACCCCTGGAGATCCTGCAGATCCGTCAATCCGTACGCCGGATTATCGAAGGACGTCGCGTCTCGACTGCGACCGAAGAGCGGGGCCACTTTGATATCGGGAACCACCGATCTGCACGGAGAGCCGAGATCTATCCTTCGAACGTCGTACGTGGGAGAGTCCTTGTGATTCTTACCGTGCCTGAGCATCAGACTGGTATCGAGGGGCGCGGTGCTGTCCGACCTGCCCGACGAGCTCCGCGGGCTCGCGGAATCGTCGCTACAAGTCTTCAGCATGGTCGGATAATCCTCCTTGGCAAACGGATAGTCGTCCTCGACGTCGACGCTCGACTCTCTCTGCCCGCCCGCGTCCTCGTCGACGTTTCCGTCCACGAACGCCCTGAGGGCGCTCTTCAAGTCCGGCGAGTCTGTTGCAATCTCCTTCCTGGCTCTCACCTTCTCCTCCTCCTCGTCCTCAATCTTCAGTTCGATCTTCAGCATGGACGGCTGAAGACCGTTGCGGACGCTCATCGGCGTCCTGGTGGCGTCGCTGATGTCGCGCGCGCGGTCGTCCGATGCGAGTCTAGCGCGTTCGTCCGCGATCGTGCGCGTTTTCAGGGTTTCGTTTTTAAGGTTTAGGGAGAGGTCAAGGTCGCTAGCGCTACGGGGACGATGCTCTAGCCCGTTCCTATAATCGGAAGAGCGGTTCGTTACCTTGTTGGGGTAGGCCTTCTGTAGAAGGGTGTCGGGCACATCAACAGGTAGCTCCCGATGATGGCCCAGGGCGCCAGGGGCCCACATCTCATCGGGCCCCAGTCCCTCCTGCGGCTTCTTCGCGTCGCGCGAGCTGCTGTTGTTGTTCTCTTGCAGCTGCAACTGCTGCTGTTGCTGTTGCTGAGAGTGTATATCCGTCACGCCACTACCGCTACGCCTTCGGGACCTGAAGCAAAAAAAAAGAAGATTCTGCGTTAATAACATTATTAACACGTTTTTATATGCAAAGTTGAAATCAATAAAAGACTATGTTAAACGAGACTATGTCAGACTATTAGAAATTCGAATTCAGTTTTATCTGCAAATGATTTGAACAATTGAATGGATTGTTCTGAATCATTTAGATCTCACGATAAATGAAATGAATGATTTTAAACGCAATTCACACAATTATGCATTTTTAAAATTATTTTCTAATAGGCATGTCAAGTAATCAATAAAATATGAGTGAAAAGCGTGATGTCAGACAACTGAAAAGATCATTTTTACTCTTTGACTTTGGTGAGCGTTGGATGTTCGATAGCGCGACAAATGGGCGGGTAACTGCATTATCGGAGGGAGGAAATTAAGTGAAGGGTAACTAGCTATTGGCACATATTTCTTTACACGCAACTTGGGTGAGGTAAATTGCTGGCTGTTATGAGCACGAAGCGCTACGTGCATCTGCGGATAATTAGACAGCTTAGGGACGTAAACTAACGCAATGTTGACTGTGCAGCACCTACGACAACGTATCATTAAAAAAGATCGCGTCCGCGATCCGAGAAAGTAAGTCAATGCGCAGAGAATAGCGAGGTAACCATGTTAGGATAAGTGCATATTGTTGCCTGCTTCCTTCATTGAAAATAATACCGAGATAACGGTGTGTAATTATAATTATAATATAGTTCCTTTTCCGGCTGAAGAAAAGAAAAGTAATATAAATAATTAATGATCAATTCAAATATAATTGATTTCGATATATCCTCAATGAACAATGATTGAATCAAATTTGTGGAAAACTGTGGAAATTAAAAATACAATTGATTTGTCTTTAAAGGGAAATGTCTACATCGCGGTGATATCTCGAATATTCCTCTTTCATATTTTTAGATTTCACGGAGCGTGACGGTGCTCGTGTGGAAATAAATTCCGCCGGAAATATATCACCATGGCTCTCGATAGCGCATGTTATATGATGTTTCAAACGAACGTAGAATCTCCTGGTTCCTTCGATCGCGCGAAAAGTCCCCGGGATATGCACGCGGTCGCAGACCGGAAAGAAACTTTCGATACGATAAACCTAAAATATATGTACGTATTACGCGCTGTCAGTCGCTGCTTTATCATTCCTGAGAAAAATTCTCGGCGATACTTTTCCGTTATAAAGTCGCTCTGACAAAAGTAGCTTACCGACTACATAAAAGTCGAAAATAAATCACGCAATTGCGAAATATCAAACTCTGTCAATTTTTCGCGCACGCTCGATCGGCAAAATAAATCCGTTTTATGCGAATTGGAAAAGTCCGCTACGATGGGCATATAATTGCATGCGGCATTCGCAAAATATCACTATATTTACATGCAAATTTCATCAAAATTGCAAGATAGCCTGATATGACAGCAATATTATTAACAATACATATTGATTCATGAAATTTCATTACAAGCGTGAATGGCGTAACAAACGTATTGAAATTTTACGAAACTGCTTGTATTGTGTTGTCAGCCGATCAACCGAAAACAAATTTGCCATTTCTGCGCGTAATCATGAAAATTGGAATCCGTCAAAATTCTAGATTGCTCTTAACTAAAAAAAGTTTTCACTGATTATATAAACACGTCCGTTTCCCATTGATTTAATGTGCGAGGACCAGAAATTTAATATCCATCCTGATTCATTAACGCGCAATTTTTATCAATGTAAATAAAATAAAATATCGGAGCGCAAATTTTCTCAATAAATAAATCAGGCGGACGAGAGACTATTTTAAATAAATATTCATGTGCAATAATATTCTATATTGCCTTATGGCGATATTTAATATTGAATATTGAAACATTGTGTGACAAAAGATGATAGTCCATCAAAAGTTCTCTACGTCAAATCCAAATTCATCGAGAAGTCTATTTTTTTTTTTTTTACAATGTTGACAGCTATCAAGCATCGCACAATAATTTCCACTCGCACGCATATGCTCTTCACGCGTTTTATATATACATATGTACGTGCGAACGCAAGATATCGGAAATTAGATTTGCGCGACAAAGACCCGTCCGTGTCTGTATAGGGCCAATAGACCTTTTCGCAGATCTGGTTACACCTGGACATTCAACACAGGAACGCCATTACCGCTCGTCGGTCCTTATGCAAATATGCGCGTAGATTCATAGGACGGGCGATAAAGAAAGAGACAATGGGAGTCGCGAACAAAGACGATAGGAAACGCGGCACCACAATTCAATATATACGTACGCTCAAGTGCAAATGACGCCGTGCGTTTTCGGTCGCGCCATTCAAAACACGTTTAATGAGATCTTGAGAATTCTTGCGACAATCTAGGGAAATTGCACCCGTGCTCTCTCATATTTAATAAATCTCCGTCTATTACACAGCGAATACCTTTCGCTCGGTGAAATGTGCCAAAAAAATTATAAACATTGCGATTAATTTGAAGTACGTTTCTCACTAATTCAATTGCGAATATTCAAGCGCGTTCTTTTACGTCCACGTGAATTCTTCATCTAAATTGCACATTTCTTAAATATCTCACTTCCGTATGCTTGAAAAAAAAAAATCCGTGGAAAAAATTTCAATCTTGATCACTGAATTAAGGAAGCCGGTCTTCCTTTCGCATCGTTCACCCATGACATTTCTTAATGCACTTACAGCGGGGATTAAATATCCTAATGAAAAGGCGGAGAACGAGACCTAATTTCTGCAACGTCCGCAGGCGGACTTCGCCAGGAAATGCCGCTTTTTTCACTCCATGTAAGAAACGCGCGGATCGTACTTTCCAATAGTTTAATCGATCGTCAATGCGTCAGCGATGATCGCACTGCGTGCATCTGTTGCACGTGGCCTCCGTAACGGAAAACGTTGAACAGGTCAGCGTGAGTGCGTTGTCTGCGGCACGAACCTGCCATCTAAACTGGTCGGCCTGTCGGAATCGTTAAGACAAATCGCTTTTAAAGGGAAGATATATAAAGGCCAAGTAGGAGAATGCACTTTCGAGAAAATGACGAGGACTGGTTTTCGAACTAAGGCTTCGAGGAAACTTTTTCGAAAGTTGTAAATTCCTTTAAACTCAGATTAAATGCATTCTTCGCTCGGTCGGTCATTTTTCTGTAACGGAAAAGTTCCGCCGGGCATTCGAGAGAATTGACAATCGGCGTACGAAGTGCTGCGTCGCGGTTTCGTGCGGATCGAGTATGTCCCGTGCAGTTAAATGGAGCGAAGGGATTAAAGGGATATGAGACCGCGGCATTTACAGTAATTCAAAACGATCGACTATGAGGCAAATGGATGATAATAATCTAACGTGCTGTATGGGCTTTCATCCGTGAGTTGAGGCGAAATTAAGTCATAAAAATTATTGCAGCATTATATCGATAATATCTATAATGCAATCGAAAATAATAAGACTGTGTAATTAAATCTTCATAGAATATAACGCACTGTTGTCGAGCTTTTGCCGAAAAGAGAAAATTCTCAGAGAGGAGATCTGGCCGAAAAGCTGTCTGGCATTTTTCGCGAATTTAAGGCTTGACGTTCATTTTGCAATTTTCAATATTTCATAAAATTATGTTCTTTACTTACGCACAAAATACAGCGCTTCGTTGCATAAAAGATCCATTCTGCTTTTTAACTCTCGCATTATACGAAATTAATTCGGAGATTTAACTGTGCCGAAAATGTTGCCGCATTTTGCACGAGGCAATTTTTGTCACATTATGTTACGAGTTTACGGTAATTTGAAATCGTCGAAAAATCGATGGCATGTAAATGACACGAGTGAAAGTATCGCTGACGAAACAGTTTGCAAGAAAGGAATATAAGTCTAATAATGTGATCGTATCAACGTCGCATCCCTACAACGAATCGTGACTCCTGCGAAAGGTCACTCTTGCTTTCTCAATTAATTTCTCCATTCATGCTTACATTTTTATCGCACCATCGTTTTCTCACTGATGCATCTGCTCAGCTGTTATTCAGCGAAACCGCCATTCATTCGAGTTTTTAACAATACGCCGCGTAGCAACGTCGCCGTGCAGTGAAATCGTTCGAATTCGCGAAATTAAATGAACGTTACAAATCACGATGATTTCCACGTAATAGCGGGATATAAAAGGACAGTATCGTAGATTACGTTATCGCGATTCGCCGGAATTTCGATCGCGCGTGAATAGCGTTTCGCGCGCGCGCGTAATGAATGGCAATCGATATCGCGTATTCGTCACTTCTTTTCGCGTTGATTCAGCGCGCTCAGTGGAACGCGATGGAGCTGATAATTAAACGTCGCGACACTCTTAAGGTCACGAAAAGCCAGAAATATTGATTTCCACGCCCGATGGATATCCAATTTATTTTTGTAGCGACGCTTATCGATAATTACGGCTGTTCGTCGAGCGGCGCCGCGCCGTTTTGCCGGGCGATGCGGAAATCAAGTTGCTAAATTACGGCGCGCGTAACCACCCATATTTAACGAAAGATCGAGGCGAGCTCAAGGCCCGAACAATTATTCGCGTAATCGCGTGCGAAATCGTGGTCGATTATGTAATGCGAGTTACACCAGGCTGGATACGTTACAATACCGCGCTTTAAATTCCTACGAATGCTTCGCACGATTTAAATTCCTACGAAATTTTTTACGTTTCACAAAAATATTGTCGATGCGATACAATAAGAGAATTTTTATTTTTCAAAACAGGGGAAACATATTGACGACACACACTTTTTCCCTCCAGTGGATTTTATGAAATGTGATATTTGAAATGGAAGAAAAAAATAATTTGTTCATGCTGGCTACGCGAGAACGATATATCTATGCATTCGAGGAAAAAGTATAAATCTTATTATAACTTGTTGTAAAACTTCTCACGGACACGCTATTTAATTATAGCTTGTAACTGGCAACTAGACTAGAGCTAGCGAAAGCTTTAAGCTTCTGCAGGCACAAAGTAAAT